AAAAGGCAAAAACAGTAATTTGTGTAGCAATTTCAATTTGGTGAGAAGAGCAGAATGGATTTGCTCCAAAATGCTTTATAACTTGTGGTGTGTTTCACAGGAGGAGTATGTATCACCTTAACTGCATAATACGTATCACTGTTCTATTGTGATGTTGTAACTGCCAGCTTTTACATAACACCCAGTTTGTTGAGCATGTTGCTCCAAGTCATAAATTATTGGTAATAAAAAAAATAAAAAATTAATTTTTTAATATTAGCAGAGCACAGCACCTACAAAATTGCTTTTTTTTTTCTTTTTTCTTTTCTTCTGCTGAGGAAATGGCATAGCAGGAACAATTCTAATGTTTATGCAGAACAGCATCTATTTTTAGTAAAGCAGTTTTCACTAGATATAATTTGGGCATTCTGAATAGAATATTTCAACCATTTCAAATTTAACTCCTCCCAGTTATGGAATAAAGCCCATAGTGTATGTGACAAAGGTGATTTTCTAACTTTAGGATATGATCTTGATTTTGATCTGTTGTTGCAATGTCACAAGTTATAAGTGACTCTTGCATAAGTAAACAAACAGGATATTCATTTCTGTATCCTGTACAGCAAGAATACACAAAGATAAGTCAAGTGACCCAAATGAATGAAGAATCATGTAAGTTGTTACATTTGGGTAGGGTGGCTCCAATTTTCTATGCATGGAGGAGGCATCCCAGCAAAGCATAGTATTTTCATTTGCATTGTGTTAATGTTCTATGTATTCCACACCTGTTTCTTCCATACATAAATATAGTACAAAAGATAGTAAAAAAGGAGTGATTAATGTTTGTCCATTGCAGGTTCACCCTATTAACTTATCTGTTTATTTGCCTGTATACACAGATTTTTCATATGAAGCCTGTGAAAGTAGTATCTAAGCAACAGACTGAACATTTCAGCTTTGTCCTGAGGACTCTATTCAGCATTTAGAATGGAACATAAATGCAGGCAGGTTGTAATAGCTATGGGGAAATTAACCACTGTGTTATCTTACTGGGTTTGTGCTTAGCAGCTGTAAGCAGTGTGTTATTTAAATGGCCACTGTTTCCAGCTTGAGACAGCACTCTCCCTGTTGTTACCACTAAAGAAATTACCCCAGAGATGCTAATCTAAAGAAGTGCTAGGAGAAAGATAATACTAGAAGCAAAATAACCCAGGGGAATTTTTTTTTTGAAAAATCAGTGTTATACTTTGTTATAGTCTCTGCATGTGGTTGCAGGCATATGTGAGATTTAGCAGGATTTATTTTTCAGATGGTCAAAGAAGGCTAACAAGTTTTGAGAGTTTATGATATTATTTGAATTACTTTATATATTTCAAAGAGTAGCTGTATTTTTTCACCTGTAACTCAGTGCTTCTTGGAAGTCTTCTCACAATTTCTATATCTTTGTGCCATTCCTCACCAAAATCTGAGACAGCATGGTCCTCAGTACTATGGCAGATTTGGCTTTCCCACAAAGAAGGGTTATGTAGGAAAAAAGGAGAACTTTCAGCAAACCATCTGTAGTGAGAAAGTTATTTGGATGACCCATCTTGAACTTTTGCCAATTTTGATAAATACAGGGAAAATTTTTGAAAGAAGACTTGAAAAGAACTATCAGCCTGATATGTGAGTGTTTTCTGTTGTTGAATTCCATTTCCACTGTTTTGAAAAGAATAAAAACCTTGCAGCAATTAAGCAAGCAGCAATAAAAATTCCCCATTTGTAGATCTCATTTGTATTAGAAATACTGATTGTATTGCAACTGATAGTACTTCCACACTTTTTGCTACAAAATGCAAGGACATCAGATTTGAATATATTCAGTTTAGAGAAGGACTGGAATATGGTATTAAAAACCTGGCCTTAGCTAAAGCAAACCTGAAAATTTACAATATTAAAGGTGAGGGCATGAACTTACTGGCTTAAAGTAAGAATTTCTTCTACAAACAATGTGCTTTTCTGATGAAAATGAGAGAGAAGTACAGTAGTAATTGCTTTCACATTAAATAACTCATTGCATGCCACCAGATAAGATGCCAGTCTTGTTGCTGTGAAAAGGAAATGGAAGATTTATCTATGAGAGGACTCTAAAAGAATTGATGTGATGTGTTCATCCATATTTGCAAGCAATAGTAATTGATGTCCTGGAAATTTTCACCTGATAAATTCCAAGTCACTATATGACTCTGGGACAGTGGTAATTCTCTGGATTCTATTTTAGCCTTTAAGATACAAAATCTTACTTTCCGCATATACTGTGAAGAACAGTACAGATGTACAAATACACTTCTGAATAGGTTTTAGCTTGTTCAAAGTTTTCAGAGAGAAAAAGAATGACCAAAATTTGTCACTTTTGTGCAGGCTTATACATAGAAATATCTTTTACAAAGCACAGATTACATAAAGATAGGTAAGATAATAAGATTTGGAAATTTAATTTTGAACTTCTTGGCAAAGGTCTACATATTTACTGTTCTGAATAACATCTTTTTATATATTGACAAAGTTGGATTATAGTTATACTCTCTTGCAATAATTAATTCTTTTATAGAAAAGGTTTGATTCAGAATTATTGCTCATCCATGGCTGTCCTCTTATTCCCAGGTTAATGAAAACTGTTTTAGTTTCAAATATGCAAAAGTAAGTGTTTTACTAGCAATTCTCATTTCATTTGAAATACAAATTGCAATTGTTTATGTCTTTTGATTCTGTATTATTGTTTTTCATCTGTTTGCTCAGGAAGAAGAAATCATTTAAAAGAAATGTATTAAAACTGATGATCTTAGTAGATAGCCAGAGACTGTGGCCACTATATTATGAATAAAACACTGCACTGATGCATAGTGAAGGTTGATTCATCACAGCAAAAAAGTAGAAATGAGAGGATACCCCAGTAGAAAAATAATGCTTAAGACACCTGGCTAAAAAGTAAAAAAAAAAATTATTCAAGGAGTAAAAAAAAAAGTCTGTCAAAAAATTTAATTGGTAATTAAATTTAATTTAATTTCTTGCCCTTGGTACAGGGCAATAAAATACCAAGGAACTGAGAAAAAGAAAAAAAAAAGCAGGATTAAATTGACTAAATTTTCTTATCTTTTTGTATTCTGGTAACTATATGTCAACATAATGCTATTTTAGAATTGAAAACCAATTATTTTCCCTATTTTTTCTCACCAATAATTTTTTTTGGCTGGTCTCCACAGAAAATACTGCAGTACTTTTTTCATAATATTCTTGCCAGTAAAAGACTATCTTTGACTAAGAGAAAAAACAAGCTGCTGCTCTGGAGGTGGCTAGAAAACTGGCATAATACCAGTGAGCATAATCCTGGCATGGCACAGACTAGCCTACCTACCAACTTTCCCTGATATTGAACATCAAGGGTTTTCTGGAAGTAGTAAGAGAAAGGGAGAGATTCCAAAATACTAAAACCTGTCATGATGTTTTAGTTGTGAAGAGCTTAAGGGACTCCAGAGATATTCTATTCTAAACCACATGCTTCACTCTCTGTTCATTTTGCTTTTCATCTTGTTTTAAATTAAATAAGATGACTGCTTTAACTACTTCAGTTTAACCCTTCACTTTATCTATGCAGATGAGAAGAGTTTCTGTGCCAGGGGCAAAGGCAGCCTCTCATAAGAAGGCTTTCCTCTGGAAAAGAAGCAGTTTGAGTCCTGGATCAGCACTAGAGTGCAGTGCACAAGGGTAAGCCTTCTGGCAGTACAGGTATGGTGGAGGAAGTGCAGAGAAGTTAATACCCTGGGGATTGGAGCATGTCTATATATTTTCTTTCATTTCTTGCTTTCCTGTCAAGCTTAGCTGCCTTTTCTAAGCACTGACTTCAAGACTGTAGACCTATGTAGAGGAGTCTGAGAGTTTTCTTCTTGCCCTTGTCCCTGTTTTATGGATCCATGATTTGTTTAGCCTTCAAGAAAAAGTATCTATGTATGTTTGAGGATGAGCATTTAATTATTTCAATTATTGTTTCCAATATTTCAAAACATACACTTCTGAAAGATTGCAGAGATATCCTATATTTAATAGAAAAAAAAAAAAATCCAATCCCTCAGGAGACATCAAGCTCATTTATTACTACAGGAGCCAGAAGAATACATGCTTGAACCTAGTACTGACACTGGCACATTAAACAGTCTTTAAAAAAAGTTCCACAAACCTTCAGACACAGTAATTTGACACCTGAGACTTTTTCCTCCTTGGTCAGCTTTCCATTCCTATTTAATTTAAATATAAGCCAGCCATTTGTTTAAGAACATTTATTAATAAGTATTCAAGACTAGAAGCTGTGGAAAAAAACCCACAAACAGCCCACAAGCTAAGAGGACTTGAAAAAGTGAAGCCTTCATTCCAGATATGGAGCTAGTTTGCATTGCCATTTCTAACAAATCATACTGAGCCTTTTATTTTCATATCTTGCTGTAAGTCTTTGCCAGCCTGCTTCTATTTCCCAAATAGCTTCTGCTTCACTACATTTCCATCTGTACAGAAAGGGCATGGTATAAACACTGATAAACAGTGAATGAAATCTTCCTTACCTTCCAGCTAAGGCAGGATACTGGCAGGCTGTATTTTTCTTTTCAGAAAGTATTATGCTAGGGATTTAGTCTTTTATTGTGATTTAAAAGGGATTTTTACCAGGAAGCTGGAAGCATCAAGCTTCTTTTGCTAGATGTGGCACTGCTCTGTGATATACAGGCATGTTTCTTTTGGCTGCTGTAACAACCTTTCTTAGAATCACAAAGAACCATTACCTATAACGTCACCTTTTAATCACTGCCTTGCTTTTTTTTTGCCTGATTTTTCTTCTGGTTAAGAACAAGATAAAAGATTCCCATACATGTATGTGCCTGTATGAAAGAGGCAACGAAAAAGGTGGACTTTCCTTCAAGAACCAGAGAAATATAGTCTGGCAGCACGTACAAAATGGATTTTGTGAGGATGTTATTTGCTGCATTAAATAAGCAAGAAACATTTGAATGGTTAGGATTTGGTAAAATCCTGATTTTTTTTTTTTCCCCTATAGTATTACTGTGCTGGTAACAACAGGTAGAAATTTATGTGAACCTGCTGCACAATTTACAGAGTTATACATCTACAGAAGAAATGAAGATTCTAAATTAGCAGAACTTTTAGGACAACACAGATACAAGATGTGGTTAAGGAATTACAACTGTGATAATAACAAATGGACAGTTTTAGAAACCAGTAGCAATAGATGAGTCACTGAAAACAACCACTTTGCATCTGTAGTTCTTTTTCCTGTAGAAGGAAATTTTCAATATGAGAACATTTCAATGAGGTACAGGTGTATCACAGAATTAAGCTGTTCAACATTATGAAAATACTAAGGAAAACAAAATTGTCCATGTTGTATTTAAATAAATACTATATTGTAATTAGCAAATGTTCCTGCAAACCACAAGCATATCTATTGATGAAAAAGGGTACATGTACGTCCTAGAAAACTACTGTTACATGACTTGGAACAATGTTTTTTAATAACTAAATTAATGTCATCACAACTAAGTTCACATCATTCTCATTACTATCAATAGGAAGCTGATGCCTAAAGAGTAGATAATAGAATCTTTACACACACATAAAAAACAGATTTGCAGCTGATTAATTATTAAGAAAGATTAAACTTGCTTTTATTCTCTGATCCTATGCACCACACTTGCAAATGCATATAAAATCTGTGCCTTGCATGTTCACAGGTCAGCATCTGCTCCTGAGTCCTGAACCCCGTTGTAATGTAATATGATGGCAGAAATCTAAGAAGGGTAAATAATGTTCTATTCCATTTAACTGTTTCCCATTCACTTCCAGGATGTTCATCAGAGCTACTCGAGTCTGGCGGTGCTTCCCCACATTTTCTTCAGCCATGTTCAGCCTCCAGGAGTCCCATATTGAGCAGTGGAGGTACCTACAGAAATGCATTCCAGAATGTGCAGGGAGCATCTGCAAGAAAAGGATGATGGGGCAGAAATGAAGTTAAACTGTTTAAGATAATTATTTTCTTAGTAACTGTAACAAAGGAAAAACACAGTGGGAAGAACACTGCGAGAAAAAAAAAAATCCTTCAATGATAGCTGCGCAAGTTAAAACAAGTACCTGGACTTTAACTCTGATTTGGAATGAAAACAAAATTGTGATTGGAGAGGCTAAAAGTGATAGCAAAGTTATAACAATTAAGTTAAAAAGTTAACAGTTATAGCAAAGGGTTTAAATCGTCTGAAAGACAGATGCTTGAACTTTTGTTGTTGTCTGCCATGACCTTACAATACAACATGAAGGAAAACAACATAAGCACTTTAAAGATACTTAGTGCTGTCCATTTTTCAAAGCCATGGTGACTATAAATCCCCCATACCAAAAATCCATGTGGATCAAGTTATCCTTTGGAAGTAATTGAGGGTATATGAATCTCATTTAAACAGAACTCTAGCATGCAAACATTTCCTTAGTTTGTCTGAATGTGATATTCTGCAGCTGCCCAAGAGCAGAATGCATGAAAAGCATGTTGCAAGTCACATGAAAGTTTGACAGCGTGGGCAATCGCACTTCATTAATTCCTAAGAGATTTCTGTCTTGTACTGGTGAACCATCTGACTGTTGAATTCAAAGAACTCAGAAGTGATCACAGTGCTCTAAGGCACAAAGAAAGTAGAACTCCCCTCTCCTTCCTTGAAACTTTGCATGCATCACTGTTTGGTAAAATACCAGCTAAAGTAATCCCAAAGAGCATTAAAAGGTATCTGAGAAGGCTTTTAGCTTTTCTGACTTCATATGTCATGAAGTTATCAGCCAGTACTATGAAAAGAGAAACTTATTTTCTTCTTCTGAGACAACTGTCCTTTCCATGCAGGTGCAAAAGGAAGTGGGGAGATAGAGGAAGGATTTGCCCTTCTTACAACCTGCTTCAATTTATTAAGCAAAGAAGCAGGACAAAGAATTTTCACCTGCTGCTTCTAAAGAATATGTCCTGACACTCCATAGAAAAGTGGGAGGTCCCTGAAACTTAAGGAAGAGAAGACAGTAAGGGGGTAAAGCAAGGAATGACAGCAGATAAAGTTGCAGAATGGGAGAACAGTTAAGGCAGGTATCAGAGGAAATGCAGACACATCCTCCTGTTGTGTTACCATCTAACACCATTCATTCATAACTTGATTGATGAATTTTACAGTTGAACTTGACTGATAAATTGATATTTACCAATATTTTAAGAATGCATGCAGGGCCTGCTCTTTGGACAAAATATATTAAGTTCATATTATTATCTTCAAGTGACAGATTTGGATTTTAATTGATTTTCCCACTCTTTTGTACAGTACAACATATGTACAATAGTTGAGCTTTTAATTTTTAAGTGTTTATGATAAACAGTATTCTAAACTAGGAAAAGTGAAAAAATTAAGAAATTATCAGAAAGAGGAAATGTAAAATGAAGTGATTTAATCATTTTACTGAAGATACAGATTTACTGACAGATATTAAGCCCCATGTCAAAATATTATGATGCACACAAAACAAAGGAAACCTTGTGCTGACTTAATAGTTGGGGTTCTCCCATTAGAATGGCTGGTCCATTATTGTTGGTAACTCACTAGACACTAATTAAATTTAGTTTTTAATTTTTATGAAATCCTTTTCCTGTACTATCCTAAAATATTCCAAAATGTAGAAAATTGTGGTGAAATTACAATAATATCTACATATGGTGGAGACAGTTTTACTTCCTAGTTCACTGTAACTTTGGATTATACAAGAATAAGGAAGATGGATTTATACGTTGTATTTTTCTATCTGATTTTCTAGATCTTCATTTAATGAGATGTGCTAAATAAGTTGGACTGAAAAGGGCAATTTTATGTGTTGGACTTCCATTTTGAAGAAGAACCTGTGGATTGGCATGGTATGCTTCTTTTTTATTTTTGTTTTCTTTTTCCAAATAGTATTGTATAAGGAGATCAGGCAAACTGGGTCAGTTAGGACTTTGAAGTTAAGTACCCCAGGAAGTACAGTACTTTATCTTCACTTAATAGCCCTTTGGAGCTGTATAAAATATCCCCACATGATGATGTTTTAGATGTCTTACCTTGACTGTGTTCCAGACTATGCTTAAATTAAGCCTGACCCTATGTTTGTAGTTTTCAAAGCCAGTCCAGTTGGGTTTTGTAATTAGACCCTCCAAGGCAGAAGGAAGCTAGTGCTTTGGCTCCTTAGTTAGCAGCTGTGCACCCAGCTGGGCATGTTTATTATAAATGAGGACAACTTCTCAAATTTCCATTCTCAGCATGATCATGCTTGGCTTCAGTCTCTGTTTCTGGACATCACTGAAGATAAACAGTAAAGGCAGTCCCATTGTTGCCTAATAAAGATTTGGTTGACATAATGTACCATAATGATATATCTCTAATAAGGCTATTTCACATTATCAGACAAAATTTAAAAATATGAATCATGACTTGCCATTTGAATATATCTGTAACCTTACTCAGACAAGTATCTGTATACAAAGTGTATGCAGTATATCAACTGAATATGAAATTCAATATCTGTCTAAAGCATATAGGTGATAACAAAAGAATGGGACATGGTTGACCCATGGTGAAATAATTTCACTGCTCATTTGAGGAAAATAATTGCTTGTATTTCAATCTCATTATAAAAACCAGAAAATGTGCTCTATGGCATTATTCACAGAATGCACAGCATTTTATTGTCTCACACCTAATTTGGAAGGCTTAAGTGAGATTTAAGGACTACACAGGCCTAGTACTGCTTCTTAATATGAAAATTTAATCATTAATAGCTATAGATCAGATATGAACCTCTATTAAAAAAAAAGTTATGAAAAAAACTACATTTAAAACTAGTTTTTCCAAAAGTCTCTGGAGTATGTTTTTGTAGAACTGGAGGTTTTTGTTTCGGGTGATATTTTTACATGTACAAAAAAATGAGTCCTTTCCACTCTCCTTTCTGTTTAATTCTTTAACAGGCAATCTTACCCTCTGCACCTTCTAGGACTTTCACTGGTTTTTTTTGCATTAATCATTTAGTTTTTTTGTCTCACGTATTTCGTCCAAGTGCAACAAATCCCCTCAAGCCAGCAATGGTCTAGAAAAGGCCAAGTATGGGAAAGCAAGTAATTTCATATCAGGTTACAGATTTTAGATTATTGTCCTGCATTAAAATAACATTGAATTTGTCTACTTAGATTTATTTTCTTTTAAATTATTTATCTATTATTTAATTTTTTAAAATTTATTATTTAAATTTAAAATCTTTAAATTAGTTGAGATAAACTCTAGATTTCTCAGGCAAAATCCCATCAGGGTAAATGAGAATTTTGCAGCTGATTTCTGGGAAGCTAGGTTTTTACTTGACTTCTTTGCTTTTTAAGTTTCTAAGATTTAAATTTCTGTTCTCTTGTTCTAATTTGCTGCATTCTCCTTTTCAGTTTCTATACATTAAGTCATCTAGATCAGTGGAATACAAAGATGCTTTCTTCAAGGTGACTTCCATGCTACTGAAAGCAATCACTTTCTTCCTACAAATACACCTCCCAGTGATCAGGTATTCTCAATCAATTGTTTAGGAAGTTTTACTACTCATCAGTATGAAAATACATTGGTGTACTGCTCTACTAGGAATACATCTGGTCCAACACATAATTTATTACCTCTCCTCAAGAGTCAGCTCTGGCTAGTGTCCATTAAGTTGTATGTTCTGAGCCCATTATCATTACTTAGGTAACACTAAACATAACCATAAGAAAACTAAACTGAAAAGCTTTCAAGGAAAAAAAAAAGTGCTTTGTTTCTACCTCTTTCTAAGTAAAAGGGTTTAAAGGTGTTGATCCTTTGGGTATAATTGTTTAGATGTAGTGTTTTGTGTTCCTAGGTAGGATGCCCTCAATATACATAATATGAATTTAGCACTGTCATCAAATTTTCTTTTAATGCAGTAAAAATTCTTGGATGGCAGCCAGCCTCTTTACCTCATAAAAAAACAGCCTCTCTGATTGCCTATGTTGTAGAAACTGAATAATATGTTACAACATAGTGACTAAAAGATGAGTAAACTGGCTGAGAACACACCCTCCACACATGCAAAATTTGGTCCCACTCACTGCTTGTTTGACATTATTGATGAAGATGTGTTTTTTCTCCCAGAGATAAACATGGCTCCATAGGCCAAATTCTTTTTTGATTTACATGCAATGCACACTCTCTGGGCTAACTAATTAGAATGTGCTCCTTTACCATATCGTGCTTTAGAAAAATTATCTTTTTCTATCATATATCTTAGAAATAAGGTATTTCACTTTGGGATGGTGATGTGCTCTTGTGCATGCCAGCAAAACCTGTCATCAGCCAGGCTGATAAAAATTAAACCAAGAAAAACATGTAAGTATTCATGTAGGTCATTATTCATGTAGGTCATAGTCTGGAAAAATAATCCACAAAATTGTACTGAATTTTCTTTTCTGCCTCCATCCCCAGTTCAGTTACTGCAACAGAACTGAGGGCCTTACTTGATAATTTTTCATTATAAAAAACTCTGAGATTACAACAGGTGACTGTTGGAAGGAAGATGGATCTTATATTCAGCTAAAGTGGTTATTTCAACCTTTTTTGACCAGCATCACCTGCAAGAGGTTATGTCCTAATATTTAATAAACTTCAACCTCATAGCAGTAATTTTGCTGTGTTGACCCCAGGAGCTGAGAGAAAACAGGCTGTCAATGACAGGTCTAAGATGCATTTGCAACATACACAAATAATAACTAAATTAGGGGTTTTTTTTTAAAAATAAGACTTCAGGAATATGATCCTTCAAATCCTTATTTCCAGCAGGTGGAAAAATGAGCAAACCCTATATTTCATTATTTATTATATGAAATGCGCTTTATAAAACTGGAACCAATGTTAAGGCAACATTTTTTAGTCAAATCTAAAATTAGTTGGCTGTGTTCTTAATTCTGTGCTAATGCTTTATTAGTGGTGGTATTTATATTATATTTATTACCTGCTTGACGCACTAAGTACCTTTAGTATGTTCAATAATTGAAATATCTTTGTATTCCCTAGTACCTCAAGCCATTGGATTTTAAGTATTAGTTCCTGAAACACATTGGTTTGATGCTTAATAGGACTCATCTGTTTCACCTCAATTTTTTCTTTTCATTTCATCTTTATGCTTGACATCTTCCATGCTTTCTTTCCTCATATTTGTGGGATTTGTAATTCTCAGCAGCATTTGTGTTTAAAGTACTTTGAATCTTATGATGTAGGAAAATAGTAGCAGTGTTTTATTGCCATATATATACTACCAGTTTCATTTCTTCCACTTGAGTGTCTCAAATCTATGACTAGGTTAAGAAAATCTCTCATTACTCCTACAGCTCTCTTGACCTTTCCATATGCCTTTTAATTTACTCAGTCATTTCACACTTGAGCTCTTGTTTTGGAGAAGGTAAAATACAGCATATTAGTATAACCAGTTTATTCTCTGAGACCAATTCAGATTCAACATTGAACGACACTGCAGCTTTAGGAATGACCAGGTCACGATTGTTTTTCACTCAAGTAACAAGCAAGTCAATGACCATGTGAAAAGCAGCCATGGGAGAGAATGCAATAAGGGAATGTTTTGACTCCTCTATGCCTTTTCTCATAGCATGGATTGGACCAGCTGGAAGAAAAACCCAAACTTTTCCTCTTCACATTGAATTTTCTGGCTCATTTAAGTTGGTATTACAACATTTTTTTACCTTCTCCTTTACCCCAAAGTGAAAAGGAATTAAGTGCTCTCATTCCTGATGGCTGCTGCTCATAAGTAAGGCAAAGGTTTCCCATTTCACAAACTTTTTATTTCACATTTCTGCTGATTTTATCTAATCTTTGACTGTTATTTTTAATAGCCCAGATAATGTAATCTTAAAGTCAGATTTAAGTTGTGCCCTTAATAGCCTACTTCTCCTCATATGACTAGCTCTTTCACCCTCCCATGTACTTGGTTAAACATATTTCCATTTTTATATATTCATTTTAACATCCTTTTATTACTGAGCTTACATTATTGTATATTAATGTCTATCAATTCCCCATTAATCTCTCATATAGCACATTTCCACCACAAGAAACCCACCCAAACCCTTGCTAACTTTTCTCTTTTTGTTTTTATCCTCTCTATGTATGTATTTGTTACAGGCCACATTAAGGTAAGACTGCAGTTTGCTTGAATAGGGTCAGCTTACTATAAAGTGATCTTCTAACATTACAATAACTAAGAAATCGAGTTACTGATGCACTCAGGTAACTTCTAGAAGTCTTTCCTCCCTGTTTGATACATTAAATGAGAAGGGGTTAACAGCTATTGAGAGAGTCTCACGAGAGATGGGGAATTTGTATCCCACGGCATGCTTTGGGCTTGAAGAGACCTTAAAGATCATCTATTTCCTCATAAGTCTGTCAAGGTCCCTTCCCTTCAGCATGTCGACTGCATGCTCAGCTTGGTGCTGTCAGCAGCTGAGGGTGCACTCAATCCCTCTGTCCAAGTAACCAACAAAGATGTTGAGCTGTGCTAGTCCCAGTACTGACTCCTGAGGAACAGCACACATCATTGGCTTCCATTTGGACTTTGAGCCTTTTACCGCAACTCCCTGAGCACGACCACCCAACCAATTCCTAATCAGTCAAATGGTCCCTCCATCAAATGCACATATCTCCAGTTTGGAGACAGCAACATTGTGCAGGACAGTGTCAAATGCTTTGCACAAGTCCAGGCAGATGATGCCAGTTGTCCCTTGCTTATCCACCAACACTGTCCCCCTGATGTAGGAAGCCATCAGATTTGTCAGGAGCCATTTGCCCTTGCTGGAGCCTTGTTGGCTGTGACCAATCCCCTCATTATTTTCCAAGTGCCTTAGCACAGTTTCCAGGAGGCTCTGCTCCATGATCTTGCAAGGCAAGAGAGGGTGTCACACTGTCAAGAACCAGCTGGAGCGCATGGAGCTCCATCTGGGAGTGGAAGAGGAGGCAAGCAAAAGCTTATGGGTTGGATATGAGGATCCAGGATGAAATAACAGGGCGGGGACAGGAGACTTCATAGTGAGAGTCTGCTACAGGCACCTGGGCCAAGGCTGCTACACAGGCAAAGGGTGGAAGCAAGGACATGTAGCCTTGGAGGAATACACACAGGCTGTCCCACCAGCCAGCAATGAGGGTAGGAAAGGTAATGCCCCGACAGAATTAAATGTGACCAGAGCATCAAGGGCAACAAGAAAAGTGTCTAGGACTTACATCAGTGGTAAAAGTGAGACTAGAGCCCCATCAATACAACTAGGGGTCTCAGTCACTGTTCCAGCCCTGACAGTTCCTCTTTGTTCATCCAGGACAGCATCCTTGTACATCCAGGACAGCATCACCCCAGGCTGGTCCTTCCAGTACTTGTGTTATCCCTGACACTCTCTGGCAAACTCCCCAGTGCCTATTCCTTTGCAGCAGCTGCCAGGAGAACTGGTGCCTGTGACCAGAAATTTGGCTGTGCCAGGACCATTGTAGTTCTGTATCCACATAAGGTGCTTTAATTCAGAGAAATACCAAATAATTATTTTTTTTTTTGTCCTTTTGACTCTAGCAATAAAGTATGAGGGTCAGAAACCCTCTCTTCTGAAAGTGACCTCCTTCAGTCTCCAGCATATACGTATCTAGGATCAGTTTCAACTTATTTGGCCTTGGGCCAGCCTGGCCATTCAGGATTTCAGAGCTCATACCATAGTCATGTACAGTAATTGTACTCGAGTCTCTCAGCTTTCATTTTGTCCAACCAAGTATGACAAGCTTCTGTAGTTTTGACTTCCTTCCTTTTAAGATATAGTTATAACCTTAAAAAAGTCTGCCAATTACAACACAGACCAGTTTCAAACTATCAGCATTACATTAAGAGAAAATAATGCAGTAGAGCATTTGAACCAAAATGTCTTTAACTGCGTTATGTGTCTATTTTTTGTCTATTTTCCTGACTTTTTTTATTGTCTTCCAAAGTGTGGGAGGCACACGCCTCTATGAATTTTACTTTATTATTTTTTCCTTACAGTCGAACACTATTTTGATGGTGATAACAATTTGGCTGTAAAATAAATGCACATTGTTATTAATACTACTGACTTTTGCATTCTCATGTGTGAATTTACTGTGCTATTCTTTGGAGATTTGTCACTTCCATACTCTTTTCTTTTAAAGCTATCATTAATTTATCATTATAACACCTTCTGCAGCTTTCTTTTGTGAATGCAGCCCCCCGCATGACAAAGAAATTCTATCTTTGTATTCTGATTTGGTTCCTGAATGGAACGAAGAAAATAACAAGTACAGAAAGAATAAAAATACATGGAAATTACAAACAAATAATCATATTTCATTATGCTGTTTTGTCTCTTTTGAATGACATGAGTAGACAGGAAGCTCTAAAACATTATGAATTATTGTTTTAAGCTTTATAGAAATACTATTTTATACTAACAAAACAGCAGTGTAACAAACACAGAAGCAAAGACTTAATTTAATCTCTGATCCTGCATTGCATGTGCATATTTTTTACATTAATCAGTACTCCCATCATAAGCAATAGGGCTCTTCAGACACTGCAAAAATGTTTAATGGCCAGAGCCAAAATAGTAGCTCCTGTTTAGGCACCTCAGTCACATTAAATTTTGTGAATGGGGAAAGGTTTTTGATTATTCTGTTATAAATCTGGCCTTAAGTGTTTTGCAGAATCAGAGCCTTGACAGACATGTCTTCTTCCTTTTTCACCTGACTAACAGAAACAGTGATGTACAACATGGCAAATTAGGATATTACCAGAATAATGACTTTTCTTGGTTTTGTGCATTTAGAAACTCAAGCAAAATATTAAACTAGAAAAGCATGTATTATATTTTCTTTGACATTTTCCCCTTTAATGAAGAAGGAAAAATTGTTACAATCATCTATTCCAAAATTAGATAACCTAGAGCAAACAGGAAAAATTTGTACTGAATTTAGAGAAGCCATAATTTGCACTACTGTAGGGAGTTCCTGAAATAAACACTCTGCATTCATTTCTGCATGCTAGACTGTAGATACATACCCACTCAGACACTAAGTGCCTACTTGTCAGAACTCCTGAGCACTGCAAACAAGCTGAAACCAAAAGGAGCTGTGATTGTGTAGACTCTATCAAAACACAGGAAAATCAGAGTCTTTATTCACAAAACAGTTAGACTCAGACTGTAGCTGCTCCAGCACAAGTGTGTACCACTACACCTATGTCCTCACTACCTGAGATTTCTGTATTTCATTCAATTTATGTTCATAAAGAAGTGGCAGAATAGAGAGAATAGGAGATTCCCCATTCTGATGACAACAGTTTTTCTGCATAAAAACTGTTGTTATAGCAAGTGACCATATTAAATGTCTTAATATTGAGGAAGTATTAATGAAATACAGCCTAACTTCACTATAAGGAAGCCACATGATACCATATATATATACACATACATATACATATACATATACATATACATATACATATACATATATATATGGTATCATATTCCCTTATATATATATGTTCTGTCAAGCAGTTCATTTCTTCAGGCTCTGGTAAATTGCTGCTTGAGAATAAGAAAGAAATGAGCAGCTGAGCAGAACATCAATAAGCAGTACTTCTGTGGAAATGACTTCACACTGATCAACATTTAAAAGATGTTTTTTCAAAAAGATAAATGAATGAAGAAGGAAAAAATAGTACATTCAAATGCTAAATACAGCCTACACTGAGAAAAGTGAGAAAAATGTCATTGTCATACTTGGAATACACTTGCATAACTGTTCAGGCTATTAGGCCTAATTAACAGCAAGTGAACAGATTCTTGCTATGGGGGTGTTTATAGGCAGAATATGTTAAATTCAGAGTTTGACACATTGAAGTTAGAATTTAGTCAGATTTAGGCTAGTGTAAATTTACATAGAAGACACATTTCAGCTCTGAAAAGGAACTATGAACTAAATATTTTTGGAATGCTAATTCTGAATGCTAATCTTAATGATGAAAAAGAAATCGTGCACTTTTCATGGGATAAATCCAATAATATAAAATATCAAATTATTCTCATATATGTCTGGGCAAATAAATACAGTTGAAATATTCTAACAAAGGTTTATAATTCCTGGAGTTGTTCTTTCTTTTAGTTTTGCTTTGGTATTGCTAGCAGGCAATACTAGTTAGTTAGTAGGAAATGCTCCAAACTGCTAGAGTATGAAGGCGCAGGCATCATTTTAACTTTCATAAGTGAAAAGTGACTCTCGACCTGCAGAACTTGTCAGGTAAAGCTAATGCAGCTGTTGTCATGAATAATTCAAACAACTCACTTCAGACACAGTATGACAGAGCTGACTTCACAGTGGTAACCTCTGTAAATACTGTCAGAAAACAGGTAAATTAACTATTAGTGAGTAAAACCTCCAGTCTTTGGGAAGCAAAAGTTGCTAAATTCTTTCTTGATTAACCTGGCTTACAAAACTTCTCACCAGGCCTTTTTTTTTTTTTTTTCCCTGAGAATGCATAATTTTTAAAACCTTAGTAATTTCTTGCTATGTTTCAAATGCAACTTAAATTAAAGCTATGAATAACTATGGACTGTAAAGAATGTTCCCAGATTCCCAGAATCAGGCCTGCAGGCTAATTTATTCTGATTTAAGTCCCAGTACTGATACTGAATAATCTATAGTCCTAACCCAAATGTATACAATGCTGTTTAGGTCCTGAATGTACAAATTCCCACAGCACATCTAAATGTGTGAGTGCTTCTCTTTAACTCTGATAATTAACTATATAAATACAACATTTCTTAATTCTTGTAGGACAGAATTCAAATAATTTCAGAATAATGAAATGTTACATATAAATACATCTAAGGTTTTAAAATGATGAATCTTAGGACTGGAAGGAAAATGTACTGAATGAGCTAGTAAGGAACAAAGAGAACATATGTATTGAAGTGTTGACTGGTAGGTGGATGGAAAACAGACAAGCTCAAAGTCTTTAGAAAAATCAGTACTTTGGAATGATGTTTTGTTGCTAACAGAAAAACAAGTAAGACCTTAACAGGAAAATATTAATATCTGTAAAAATGACAGAAATGACAACCAAAAGGAAAGAAGGAATTGGGAAAGTGCCCAAGACTCGTAGGCTTACTGGGGCCAGAGTACAACAGTGTTGGAAATATTATTCTGCTGTCAGTTTGTCACATTCTTGTCTACAATTTTAATATCAACTTTGTATTGATGACTGTTTTAAAGACAACATAATGACCTTAAATGCTTATTAGGTGATTTCTGTAATTACTGCAGACCTGCTCATATTAATAATCTGGAACTTCTTTTGCAGGAACTCTTCCTTCCTGATCCTGCAACACACGACAAAGGATCAAGTTCCTTTGACTTCACCAGGAGCCCACCAGAAGAATTTTCTCCTTACTAGAGAAGTTCACTAAATTTATTCCCTTGCCAGGACTAAAGAACTTTTAATATTTCTATCTCTAATGGAGTATTTGTTCTTTTACTAGACATTTTCCTTTACTTGGTTGCTGATTTTCATAGAGAAAAATATTTTTTTTTTACAATTTAATTTGAAAACTGGTTATGTATCCTTTATTTCATGTTATCCAATCACATTGTATTAGTGAATAATTTTTCCTTTTTTAAATCATACTCAAGAGTGTCTTTAAAACAAGTCTCTCATGAAGAAAATTATCACTTTCACCTCTTTCCTTCTCAGAAACAGTTTCATTTAACTATTTTATCAAATACTGTTTCACAAGAGATTAGTGTAGCATTTTTTATATGTAAAAAAGTTACCTCTGCCTGGGTAAATCAGTTCAAAACCTGGCTGAGCAGTAAACCAAGTAAATCTATTAATTCCTGACATCCTAATTTCCATTTTAGAACTGTCTGAGCAGCAGTAAATGCATACTTTTAGCTACATGAATGTTTCATTAGAATGACCTGGTTGATCAGTTCATCATCTGGACACGATGTGGTCCAGATGATCTTCCTGACCCTTTTTGGTTTTTTTTGCCCTCTCTCAGCATGATTCTCAGGTTAGTTGAGATTTATCATGTAGACTGGTCAAATCAGCACACCAACTGACTCCAGGGCAGGAAGAACTACAGTAAAAAGAAGATTTTTATCTGAGGAATTTATCCTGACTGTGCCCCTCCAGGCTACTTCCAAAAGGATTGTTGTTGCTGCTGCCTGCTGCTTGCACCAGTGTGCCTACCTAAGGGAATCTCCAACTAACATAAATTCTTCAGCCCAATCTCAAAACACTCCTGACAGAGAAAGAAACAGATCATGACAGATTTTCAGCTGCATTTTTCTTCTTTGCTTTAAGCATCAGAAACCACTACATGTCTGAATCTTAAGGATATTTACTTATGCACTTATGTACTTTTCTCCATTGTACTGCCCTTAGACTTCACTCAAATAGCACTGCAGGATGCTGCTGCAGTATATAATGTAAACCTGTAAGAAGATGGCTCCTACTCCACAGAGTGCAAACAAGTTCTCTCTGTCCATTCTCATGACAAATTACCTTTGGAGTTTATATGGGCAATTTTCATCACCTCAGATGAAGGCATTGATGGGCCTAGCATATGCTTATTCACAGAGGGAACCATGAGCTGACCAAATAACAGGCAGCATACAAAAGCTTAGTACTGTAACATTTGGTGTATGGATTTTTCAAGTGTCACAGTGGCTGTTGAGCCTAGGAAGAATGTAGCACAGATTGTCCCTTATTTCACTGATAAAAAGAAACTTTTTAGTTCCATAAGTAATACATTAATATTTGCTTTATGTATGACTTCTGTGCAAATTGACAAACTGATAAATTCTATATGGCAAGTGATTTCACTTTACCTTGTTGAACTATGTACTTTTTAGTACTC